GAGATCCAGTTTTGTGAATCTTAGGGAGTGTGTAGAAAATAGGTACTCTATGATATTTCCTCTTTAGAAATTCTGCCGTTTGTAGCGGTATGTAATCAAAAAGAACTCCTTCATAAATATTGTTTTCACCCTTTGCTCTCTATCATTGTTGGATTCTCTCATTTTAACCATAGATAAAGTTTGTATCTGCGTTCGTTTCGAGATATATTAAAAAGTGTATGTATAATATTTAAGCTTCTTTAAGTAGTACAATAGTGAGATTGTCTGGAGTGACTGTTTCCTATGATATTATCTTTATTATTATATTGATAGGAAGTTTGATAAAGAATATATCTCGAAACGAACGCAGATACACTCGAGAAGTGTTCGTCCTGTTCCTGTGCTGTGCATCTTGTTGGCACCTGTTGGAAACAAGAATTAAATAACATCATGAAAAGTTGAATTTTCTACTGAACATCTTTTGTATATTTCAGTGAACTTTCGCAGCAAACTTTTTGTATTTACTGCTGCTGCACCTGACAGACAACTGCCTGTTAGGTGTAGGAGGTCGGGGAGCCATCAGAGAAGCTGGGTGAGCAGCATCATTAAGGTGATCCTACTGGGGTGGCATCCCCAATGGATTGAAGTACCCTGGCCCTGCTCCTACACCTGACAGACACCAGCCTGTCTAGTGTTAGGGGAGATTGTATTTAAAGGCATCGGGGAGGCTGGTCCAGCAGCAGGGCTGTTACTGTTGGGACAGGCTCCCTCGTGGCTTTAAGCACCCTGCAACCGCTGCTGACCTGACAGACAACTGCCTGTTAGGTGTAGGAGGTGGGGGGAGTGTGTTGGAAACGGATGTCTGATCAAAACTCCCCACAACTATTTAAATCTCCACAAACAGAGGCGCGGCCAGATCGCGTCAAGACTCCAGTGTGACCGCAGCCCTGGAGTAACGCTGGGTCTGGTATAACTCCTGGGTTTTTAAATGAGCCGACAGGTGTCAGCTGAACTTCATCAGAAGTAGGAAGCACAACATCTTTCAAGACTTCAGGCTATCCAGCCAGCATTACCTCTGTCTTGTCAGGATTCCATTTCAGTTTGTTCAGTATTAGCCATTTACCCTTTGTAGCTAGTAGGGACTCAAGACCTCTACTGCATTGCCAGAAGATTTGGATGCAGGGATATAGGGTCGCCATAAGTCGGGAGCGACAACTGAGGGGTGATGTATATATATATATACACACACACACACACACACACACACACATGTCTAATGCTATCAGAAGAGAGATTTGTAAACACTGGCATTTAACTGCAGATCTACCTGGTTGCCAGAATAAACCACAAATAGCTTTTAGGCGCTCCAAAAATTTTAGAGATATGTTGGTACATTCTGATTACTTCTTTAAAAAATCATTGGAGGAACGCATGATATGTGGCCATGTTAAATGTGGCAGATATAAGGCTTGTTCATTAACATTGGGATGTAAAGTGTTTGTTCATCCCCAGGGTCTGTTTAAGGTTAAATTAGATAATTTCTCGAATTGCAACACCAGACTGGTAATTTATGTTATCATCTTACCATGTGATTTATTATATGTTGGCAGTAGTATAAGGCCAATTAAGACCCGCATAAAGGTAAAGGTTCCCTTGCTCGAAAGCCAGTCGAATCCGACTCTAGGGTTGCGATGCTCATCTCCGTTTCAAAGCCGAAGAGCCAGCGCTGTCCAAAGACATTTCCATGGTCATGTGGCCGGCATGACTAAACACCAAGGCGCACGGAACACTGTTACCTTCCCACTGAAGTGGTCCCTATTTATCTACTTGCAATTTCTTGCTTTCGAACGGCTAGATTGGGAGGAGCTGGAACCAGAGACAGGAGCTCACTCCGTCATGCGGCACACTCGGGTCTCGAACTGCTGAACTACCAACCTTCCACAGCCTGCAGTTCAGCGCCTTAACCACTTGAGCCACCGCAGACCCGCATACTTGAGCATAAATTGAGAATTAAAGAATGGGTCCTGGAGGCATCCCTTGTGAATCACTTTATACAACCCCCCCCACTAGAGGAGTTATGTTTTTTTGTCCTCCTCAAATTTGATGCACATCCTTACAATCATCAAGATGTCCAGAAATGATTATTAAGACAGGAAGCTATGTGGACATATAAACTTCAGACACATACACTAGGTCTCAATCCGGTCTTATCAAGTTTTATATAGTTTTGACATCGTATATTGTACCCAGCCTCTAAATAGTTGTAGCTCTTTAAATCTGGGAATTATACCCACAGGTGCAAACAATCAGCACCTTTACTATTAATGTGGCTTTGTAGTAGCCTAATTATGAGACCCTTTTCCATCCTGGATGAGTTTGAAGTGTCGGCTCCTCATCTGGTTAGGGAACAGCAGTCATTCATTATTTAATGTTATCTTGGGTAAGTCCCAAATGGGTGAATTCGTTACCTTTTATGTTTTTCTAGTTTGGTTTGCATCTGATGCAATTATATGTGTATGTTATAATACAGCTCCAGTTTAAGTTCTCTTGTGTGATTCCACTGACATTCTGAGGAAGAATCAAAATGAGAAACCTATCTGGGATACTCATAATAAAGACAGACTATGGTCTTCACGCAGTTTGATGACAGCAAGATTTGTGTCTGCAGGTCTTCTGGATATATTATTTGTCGTTATAAGCTGTGTTACTGGGGATCTTTTCATACCTCTTCACATGGTGTTCGGATCATGTATTAACTGTATTGTACTTTTCCTTATTCTTTCCATTATTCCTTGTAATTCCTTGAGATATTTATCTATATTAATATAGTATACAAGTTCATTTGATTTACAACGTTTATTAATATTTACAATTAGTTTTCATATAATTCATGCACAGTGATTAGTGTTTGATTTACTGATCTTCCCTGGTTAGTAATGAGATCAAGACTGGCATCAGGTGTAGGTATCACTGGGCAACACCCCAAAATCCTTAGCTTTAAGAGGGCTTGCTGCTGTGCTCTCTGGGTGGTGGCAGTGGAATTAGGCACCATCTATCTCTTCTCCCTTGGCCTTCACACACAGGTGGTGGCTACTCCCTTGGCCTGCACACCATCAAAATAGATGGAGGTGGTAGCTACTCTTCCTTCTCTGCCAGCTAGTCAGAGGAAAGGCAGTAGTGATTGATGTTATGGATTTAGGAATTATTTTTTTTAGTTTGGAGTAAAGCATAGAACTCCATTTCACAGAGCTGTACACAGTATGTTGACATAACAGATTGGGGAAGGGGAATAAATCAGAGTACAGATTTTTGACCTTGACATCTGTCACAGCCTTCAGTCAACCTGGTAGAGGGGAACTGTCAATGGAACATTTCTTCAGTTTGATACCTAATTCCGTCTTTCAGCCCACACCATGCTTTGCAGATTGCACCATTTGGAGGCCAAGGAACTCTAGCTTCCACAGTGAATTGTTTATTGGTCAAAACCTCTTTGGTGGGAGTTAGAGTTGGCACCCCACCTGAGGGGGTGAGTCTGATCTATGTATGCAGATGGTGTGTTTAATCAGATAGAACCTGGTTTTTTGTTCTGGTTTTTTTTAAAAAAAAAAATCTGTACTTCACCTTTTTAGCGTACTTAATTTTTTTGTGTATGTGTAGTATTAAAATATTTTAAAACTGGGGTACTTTGGGAAGAGACTTTCTGGACTATCATCCCTATAAGATAGCAGCTTTTTAAGCATACAGATAGAGAACAGGGAGTGAAAATACTGGTGATTTTTCATGGAAACATGCATGTAAACATGTATTTTAAGGGGTGACTTGCAGACTTTCTTAAAAGCCAGTTTTTCCAAGATGGTGGCAAGAAAATTACCAAGATCTCCGGTGTCCAAGAGGGCTAGGGTGTTTATGGAATGCATAGCTGGTAAAAAATAATAATAGGGATCTATAGGGTAGGTCCATAACAGCTGCTTCATACCGCTTTCCACTGTTCAATCACCTTTCCAAGCAAACAGTGAGTGCTGTGCAGAGCAGCAGCCACCAAGCAGAAGAGGACAGCTTTTCATTTACCTTGGCACGCTAGTAAGAATCGACGGTAACTAGAGCAGCAACCTCCAATTGTTTGCCTTGTTTCTTTTTATCTGCTTCACAGTCACATCTAGTCAGGGTTCACTGAACAACATCTTGCTGAGGCTTGGGACTGGCCTTGTGACAAATATGTTTTCTGTATGGATGTGGCTTCATTATTACAGATATGTTATCATCAGAGTTGCTCTGAAATGCCACCATGTCAGAATGAAAACATTGGATCCTGTGATCTGCAAGCATAAATGCCATGTGGTACTGTGTGGGGAGGTGTAGTAAGGAATGAGAACTGATAAAATTGTCATTGTTGCTCTAGCAGAGCAAGCCTTGAAGCCAAGCAGCAGTGTTTGGGTTTGGGGACAGAATTTTTCCTGAGTTCCTCTTTATTGGCTATGCTACATCAGATTTCAGTCAGGTGATTCTCTCAAACCTCCCAACAGAATAGATCGGAAGGGTGGGCTCCATGGATGTGGGGAGGGGGACAACGCCTCACCTCAGTGCCACCCCCAGGAAAGGAGGGAGATGGCCTTGCCAGGATCATGCCGGAGTCACCACCCACTCGCTATACCTTTATGCTGCCGGGCTCAGGGTGGCTCCTGGCAGCAACCAAGAATGGTGTGCCCAGAACCAGCCCCCGGGCTCCCTCTGCCTCCCAGGGAAGGGGATGGGAACTGGGAGGGGCACGGCACATTCATGAGGGGGCATTGCTCCCCAGGGCCTCCCAGCAGCTATGGGCCTGTCCCACTTCAGGGTATGCAGGGGGTGGAAGGAGAAAGCAGGGAAGATCTATGTCCTTGAATGGATGGAAGAATCCAGCCCACAGGCCATAGTGCACTTAGCATCAGAGTCTAATGATTGATTAGATTCAAAGGGTGTTCTCAACCCTAAATTACAAACAAGTTTCCAGAAAGTGACTTCATCTCCTCTCTACATTGCAGACTGGAGTCGCCCACACGCTCTTTGGTGATGGAGGCACCCAAGGGAGTTCACATCAATGCTGAGGCTGGCAATTTAGAAGCCACATGTAGGACAGAGCTCAAGCTGGAATCCAAAGATGGAGAGGTAAGTGGAAGTGAAGATCAAAGCTATGCCCAGAACCATGTTCTTGCAAGGCTCTTTTATTTCAGATTGTTGTTGTAGACTGCATTGTGTCTTCAGATACTTTAAAGATAAGGAGACGACAATGACGACGACGACGATGATTATGCCCACTTAGCAATTTCATTTAGCATTGCAACTAAAGAAATAATTGTGAGGCTTAGCCAGTACACTGGAGCTCCTTGTTGGAATAATGGAACTTATTGTATGCAAACTACACTCCCTCCATTCAAAGCAGCAGGATGATTCATTAGTTTTAAAGTGCTGGGATAATAGCATTGGTTGTGTGAAGCAGATTTATGCAGCTGTAAAAATGTGCAGTACTACTAAATTCTCTTTTTCCTTGTCACTTTAAAGTGAGATTTACTTGACTAGCATAATTACATCTTATATCATGCATTTTTGCAATGAGGAGGGTTTAATTCACCTGTATTGATCTGTAAAGCTTTGCATCTCTTTCCTGTTTGGAAGGAAGGGAAGTGTTAGAAGTCTGTAGACTGTTGAAGATGCTCCAGGGTATGAGGTAGTATCTCAACCAGCATCCGTGATTTTTATTCATCAAGGCCCCAAGCATCATTTGAAATTAGCTATTTCAGTAGAGTACTTTTTATTATTTCATTATGATTTGACATAAACATTTCTTTTGAAACAATAGCCTCCTAAGCCAATGCTCTTATTCTATAAAAGGTACACTTCTGCTGCTCTCATTTTGCAGGTCCGTAATTAGAGAGGCTCTCAGGCAACTAAAAATACACATAAAGCTGGTAATAGCGGAGGACATTTGACAATATGTCCTTCTAAATGGAGGTCGGCAAAAACAATGAAAAAGCAAATACACATGTAGCCCTCCTTTTTTTTTTTTTAAGTACCCATAGGTACACTTTTATTAATTTTTCTTTTATAATCTACAACAAACTAATCTACACACTACAAACAGACACTCTACTACACATAACATGTATGCCAAGAGTACAGTTACATTATATGCTTATAACCAATTACTTAATTAATAGAAACGCTCTATCTCTTTCCATTCTTCTGTCTTCTGTGTTCTCAAGTTCATTGTGCCATAATTGCCTAATCTTCTATTGTACTTACATTATACCAATCATAAAACTTTTTCCATGTTTTTTGGAAATGTCCACTCTTTGCTTAATCTCATTTCTAAAGTTAGTTTATCATTTTCTGCTGTTTCAAAGAGTTTATTCACAAATTCCTGTTTTGTTGGTATCACCATAGTTTTCCAATATTTGGCATATAAAATTCTTGCAGCTGTCATCATATAAACAGTCAAATACCTATTCTCTTACATGTAGCCCTCTTCACATGTTCCCACCCCAGTTCACCAACTAGGGTTGCCAGGTCTCGGTTGGAAAATACCTGGAGGCTTTGTGGGTGGAGCCAGAAGAGGGTGGGGGTTTGGGGAGGGGAGGGGCCTCAGCTTGGTACAATGCCACAGAGTCCACCCTTCAAAGCAGCCATTTTCTCCAGGGGAGCTGATCTCTGTCAGCTGGAGATCAGTTGTAAAAGCGGGAGATCCCCTGGCCCCACCTGGAGGCTGGCAACCATATCACCAACAGCATTCACATTTACCAACAGATATATTCTGTAAACTGTAAAGTATTCTGTCACCAGGAGATTCATATGCTTCCAAACAGCTAGTGGATATTTGTAAAACATAGTCCTCTTTGTCTCTTCACACTCCTTCAAACGAACAGCTTCTTCTGTCCTGAAGTCCTCCACAAAATATTCGTCTTAGAACATTCTGTGACCATAACACCTCAACCAATGACGATGCCTGCCTTTCTCACTGCCTTTGTAAATGCCCCATCTCCTTATGTATCATCAAAGCAGATTAGCTAATGGTTGGGAAGACAGGGAAACCAGACAGAGCTGCTATTGTATGCATTTAGGATTCGAAGGCAGAGCAGAAACTTATAACCCATCTTAACTGGATGAGCCATAGCATTTTATTTCAGAAAAAATATGATCAAATTGTAAGTGTTCAAAATAATATAATTGTGCTTGTTGTCTTTTAGGGCCTTAGGCATCTGCACAGTCCCTTTTTCACTCAATAAATTGATATGCTCATTTGCTATGCATGGTCTAGACATCTTCCCTCCAAGTTTGTTATGGGGCTATTGCATTTTTACACCACTGTATATTTGGAACCTGAGAAAATGCAGTGCTTTCCCCAGGAGTCAAAACCAGTTACAGTTACCACAAATAATGTAATTGTCCCAGTATTTTCTGAAAATTTAGTTTTTAATTAAAAATATATCTTCATAATTGCACGACCAATGCAAAATGTGCATTCCAATCTTATTTAACCAGAACAAAACTGTGTGCAGATTCAAGACAGCAATACCGATTTCACACAAGAGCTGTGCCACGGTCGCGCCTCCTTTTGCCCTGTTTCTATTGGTCAATTTCCCACTTGAAGCCGCGCGGCCGCATTTTGACCCGCAGCTTCGGCCGATTCCCCCCGCGGTTTCGTGATCCTGTTTTTTGAGGATCACAAAACTGCAGGGGAAATCGGGCGAAGCCGCAGGTCAAAATGCAGCCGCGCGGCTTCAAGTGAGAAATTGACCAATAGAAGTGGGGCAAAGGGAGGCGCGACCGCGGCACAGCTCTTGTGTGAAATCGGTCCAAATTTGTGGGTACTATTCAATGAACTCATCTGCTCTGCATGCCTTGAAATGTTACTCCTGCAGAACAGGGGATCTTTGGAAACAGAAATAAGATGTGGCACAGTGAACTACAACAAGAAAAAGCAATTGGCTGAAACCCTCATATATCCCTTATGTGAACTCTTGTGCAATTCACAGAAAACCTAGTAGAATGGCACAAAGGAGACAAATAGCATCATAAGCTGCATCTTACTCTGTTTCCATCCCCTTACAGCTTTTTGTTTGAGGGGCAGGAAGGGGAAGAGTTCCATTCCAGGAACTTGTAGCATTAATGGTTCATTGGATTCATATCCCCCCTCTATATGCACAGTGCCCACCAGCCAATTTTGAAGTCCTTTTTAGCCTGTTTTTTTTAATTGGACTCTATGTGCTTCCCTTCAATTACACCATTCCCAAATAAAATAATTTGATTAGCAACAAGATTTTTCCCTTGCATGCCCCCTTTTTATACAGAGATGGGATTGGCATTAGGTCAGGGTTTAGAGGATTATTATGGTAAATTTAAAATGTGAAAGCAAACATGAAAGACTTCTGTGATAATCCAGAAAGATTCATAGTGGATGGACTGTTTTCTTGTTGTTCAAGAATTTTAACTGTGAAGCTGTGGTATACCTATTTTAACACATATTTACCCATATAATCCTTGGGGAAGAACAGGAGTCAAGCATTAATTTCTGACTGAAATCTATCGTCATTTACCTGACAGCAAAGCAGGGACATTAAAGTGAGTGAAGTGTTTTTGGAATAACTAGTTTATACATATTGACAACCTATCTAGCCTAGGAGAGAAAAGGATATTTCTCTGGGGTTGTAAACATATGCCATCCTCAAGGATGCAAAATTGTGATGGGAATAATAATAGACTGGGCTTACTGAAAAGGTTTTTTTTGTCTTAAATGTGTTTTTTTAAGATCATTTAAAGCTATACTACTAAGCATGAATAACTTATCCAATATTTTGAAATGGATTGCTCACTGTTTTTAGTGTTATTTTCATTAATACAATTTGTGTTCAGCCTAAAAGGAAAAAATAAGACTATCTATATATTATAGTTATATTGGGGAGATAATACTGTCTTTAATACAGGAATATCCAGAAATTAAAAACCCAGAAAAATCAAATTAGACTAAACTGTGATTTTTTTAAAAAATACTGTTTTTATACTAATAAACTGTGATAACAAGACATCTCACACCTGGGCAGAAACAAACAGAAACTCCCAATCTTGTTTGTTCAAACTGTTGTTCAGGCTTGCATAGCTTCTGATCCACCAAGATGAACACAGTCAAGTGTTGTAGCCTGCCAGATGTTTGACAGCCTTCCTGTTTTTGTGGTATAATGCAGGCAGCATAGCAGAAAAGACTGCTTGTGGGCTGATAGGCAGAATTCAGCTTCATGGGTCACATTGTACAGACTAGAGGAATTCAAAAATATTTAACAGATTGTTTCATTTTCCTTTCTAGCATACCAACAATGGAAGCTAGTGTAACGATTCCATGTTTTACTGTGTGTGTGTCTTTAAAAGTGGTTTGTATGGATGTATGGCAGACTAGGATGCTGAACTCAGGCAAGTGATATGATTGGTGAGTGACAGAGAGGGGGAGGGGTTTTGGAATGAATGCTGTGTGGATGAACCGATATGTCAGTCAAGAGTAACAGTTAAGGATGACAGTTAGAGAGTTCTGAGTTATACAGTTAAACAGTACAGTTAAACAGATAAGAAGAGGCTTCCCTGTGTGGGTTGCTTAGTTCTGAGTTATACAGTTAAACAGTACAGTTAAACAGATAAGAAGAGGCTTCCCTGTGTGGGTTGCTTAGTTCGGAGTTATACAGTTAAACAGTACAGTTAAACAGATAAGAAGAGGCTTCCCTGTGTGGGTTGCTTAGTTCGGAGTTAAACAGTTAACCAGAGAGTTGATGAGAGAGTGTGCTGTGTAGGAGCAATATATATGAGAGTTGTCCTGAGGTCTCTGTGTGAGACGTTTCCTATGTGAAATAAGAGTAAAGTCTCTGTGATATGAGAGTTACAATTGAAAGCTGAGAGTCTCTAAGAAAAGTACCGTGAAATATTGTTACAAAGTGGCTTTATCCTCCCTGTCAGTAAAGGAGAGGCTTGTGAGAGACACCAAGCATATGATCAAATCATTCCCAGAACTGTTTACCATGTTCACCCTCGTGTTTATACCTTCGTTAAATAAATCCTATTTACTTCAAGTTTACCAGCTAAGTAAAGAATTATTCCTGGGACCACATAGTACCACGAATGCCTAAGAC